ATGGCTGCAGTTCCAGTAAGCTCTCTAGCTTTTAGCAGAATCACCCTGCTACGAGAGCCAGAGCAAAGGGAGATGATGACGCTACTGGGGTAAGAAAGCAGGCTGCAGGGGACTGAAAGAAGGCAAGAGAGTTACTGTCTTGCTCACACACACACATGAACACAGATGCTGAATCCCAGACTTCTGGCGGGTCACATAGACTTGGTATTCATCTTGCTTCCCTGAAGGCTTCTCTCCATCAAAAAAATAACATAGCTCAAAAGCAGAGATGTACCTAAAGGAAATGTGTATTTCTTCGTCATCCCAATGCCAACTTTAAAATCTCTCCATGCTTCCATAGGGACTTCCCTCCACCTGAAGGGACTGATTACCAGAGCTACCACAGATGGCACAGAGAAGAGCATGGGTGATCGGCCGGGGGTGAAACCCAGTGTGGTCTGGGGCCAGATGAAGCAGAGGGTGTGGGTGGTGCCCAGAGCCACGTCGGGACCAGAAGAGTTTATTAAGAGAAAGGCAGAGCTGTGTGGGTCAGGCTTTCAGACACTTGACAAGGATTGAAATGCCACCGAGGATGCATTGTTCGCACAACCATGATGGGCAAAGGAATAGAGAAACCACTGTGGTCACCCTGAGGGTATATGTTTCCACAGACACACGGAAACTGTCTTCTTACAAGCAATTTGTCATCCACCCAAGCTACTGCTTTTCTGCAGCTACAGTCAGCAAGAGATGTTTCAGAGAAACCTGCACCATATAATCTCTTCTTTACAATTAGATGTTTAGAACATAAAAGCCATCACCGTTAGCTGGTATAACTCAATGTACCAAACGTTCATATAGCCATGCCATCCACTTTCTAGTTTTGGCTAAATTCTTGTCCTCAGCAATGTTCTGCATGATAAATGCCACCCTTTAGCCACATGGAAAACCACTTAATTTTATTCATTTTGAATCAGCCACTTTCACCTTGGCTTGCATTGGAACAAAGGCACAGAGAGCCCTTTTCCATCACTCACTGTTTCTGTGACACCTTTCTAATATGTGCCCCTTATATAGGAGCGATCCCAAACTACTGGTCATAGTGCCTCAGGTTTTCCAGCTCCCCACCATTTTTACTACCCCCCTTCTCCAAAACTGCAGATGTCAGGCTTCTTCACTGATCAGAAGGGAGTCACTTAATTTTTATAGTCAGGCATTACACTGACAAACACAATTAGCGATTTTAACAAACAAGGCAACTGTCAGGCTTCAAAATTAAGTGAGTGGTGTCTCCACTCTGACCACGAATCCCCACACTGTAATTCATACTATGAGTTATAATTAAAAATACATACAGATGATCATATTTTATATTTAAAGGCACTCCAGCTCCACTGAGACTGTAGCTGACACTACTAGGTACCTTGCAAAACTCACTAGTCCAGCTCTGAATCTTCACCCCGAACATCCCAGAGAAACGAGTGCTTTGGCAATGGATCCACATCTGAATCTGCACTTTCATTGAAAGCTTGAATTACACTGCACCAGTTCCTCATTCCAGTAAAACAGAGCCCATTACCTCTCACTAACACAGCACAGCTGAAGATGATATTCAGAGCAATGCAACTTGGAGATCCGATGTGCTCTGCAAGTTTCCATGAGACAAGGCAGCTAAACTGCACAGGAACCTGGGATTTTCTGTACCCTAACCATGAATGCCGGGATACAGGATTGGAAGTCCACTCCTGAACCACCAGTCTAGAGGCAGCTTTTTGCCCATTTGCCCTGATTTCACTAGACCACTTCACAGACAAAATCATTCAACACTTTTACCCCCTAAAGCTGGGTAGCTGCTCATCCAAATGACAACTAACAGAAGAGGACAGGACCCACAGAGCTGGAGCCCACACCAAGATGGGCATGCTCACCAGCATCCTGCCCCGACACCCGGGCCGATCTACAAGAATGCTCCAATAGTGAATATCTGACCTTGGTGCAACAGGAATGGGAGCTTCTTTCCCAGCTCAGTACCAGCCCATCTGCCCAGCCAAACTCACGGTGGTGCAGCTGGTACCAACCACACTGGGTGATCAGGGCTTGCACGACGGAGACGACCGCGCAACAAGAGAACCTGTAATCCTCACCGACCCAGGCACCACACACTGCGGAGACTGCACAACAGTGATTCACAGATGTTTGGGGCTGTACCTACAGAAGCTTCAGTGAGACAGTTTCAGCCTAACTTTCCTGGACGCATATTCCATCTCTAGCTAGGAGTTTACCCAGGCAGCATACAAGGGCCACATATCCCTGACTAGCACTTCTGGACTGCAGGCAACACAGGACACGTGCACAGTGAACGTGCCCACAGCCTCCACAGAGAGCACATGCTCTGGGGCTGACTTTTGGGAAGAGCAGCGCCGGCTCTGCAGCACACAAGCAGAGCCATTTCCACAGTCCAACAGATTCATCGCACACCACCTACCCGCTACTAGATGTCTCTCCCCAGCCAAGAGACCCCCAAAAAGCCTACAGTGACCTCCAGCAACCCACGTGCCCCTAACAGGCCCTCCGATCACAAGGCTGGGAGAAGAGCCTACAATAACCAGAAGGCACCTGATGGCAGGAGAGCTACCAGCACCGTATGTGATGAGGACTTTGTGCTGCCACCATCCTGGACCAGGTTCCCCCAAACTAGTAACTTTTCCCAATAACAGCCAACGCAAGCTGACTCAGGTGGAAAATAAAAAAAAAAAAAAAATAAGAAAACAATTAAAGGAAAATTATATATGAAACTCAACACTTAGAGGGTGGCAGGGCTGAAGGCCCCATTAGCAGCACCAGCATCTCACTGGAGCTGCAGGCAGGATTAGACTGAGGGTAAGAACTCTCTGCCAGGAGGCCCTGTGGCCACCACCCACACCATCACCTGCTGACAGCCCAACCTGCAGGGAAAAACCCTCCAAGAAAGGCTAAACAACTGAAAGAGGGGAATAACAGAGCTAATAAATTTAGGAGCGATAGGATAAAATGTCATGGGGTGGGCAGGGAGTGACAGAGTAGGCCAATGAACAGAGAAGTTTTCAACAGTAAATCTCTTTCCTCAGATAGAAAGATTTCCTGAAGGAAATCCCATGTGAGTACTATTTAGCCTTGCCTGTGCCAATCCTGCTGCACCAAGGGTGGGGATAACCAGAAAGTCCTTCACATTCCCAAACTGTGCTGCTGCACAGCAGGCTGGGCTACACACAGGACAGCAACCAACATTTTCCAGCATGAACACAGCTGCATAACATAGAGATTAAATGCTGCATCCTGTTCCCCAGCTTCAGGTGCTCCTCTGCCTTCCTAATATCCCACATCTGTAATTACTTGGTGAGCCAGCACCTGCTGTATCACCCAGCTCCAAGACAACCAGGAACTCTCTGCTCTCTCTCAGATCTTGCCCCAAAAATAAGTCTCAGAAAGTATAAGCTCAAACCCTACAGGTGAATGAGTCCAAGGAAGCAAAGAAATTCTCAAATCTAGTGTGTCTAAACACTTAACACTTCCACGTGAGGCCTTGCATTTCATGTAAGTCAAAACCACTCTGGGCACAGGGGCCAGTGTTGCAGATGTGCGGGCAGACACATCTGAAAGCTCGTAAAAGTTTTGTGTATTGCCTAGCAAGACAGAAAGATACCAAACTGGTACCCAACCCGAAAACCAAACAACTGGGCCAAAAAGCCAACTGGTACGGGCATAGAAAAACAAACAAACAAAAGAAAAAATAATCAAAACAAAGCAGGAGAATCCAACACTCTTCTGTTTCACTAACAGAGCCAAACTGCACCTCGAGGTACAGTAGCCACAGCAATTACAGCATAAGTTTCTCCATCAACACCTCCTACTCCAGAGCACTGACTTCTCCCCAGCACAGCCCCAGGGCGTGGAGTGTGCTCCCAAACAATGGCAGGAATAAGATTTGCCTGTTCAGAGGGGAGAGCATGAGAAGGAGGAGGAAAAAAAAAAATATATATATATATATGTATATACACGCAAGAAAAAAAAAAAAAAGCCCTGGGTGACGTAAGGGTGTGGGAAACTTTTACGTCTTTACCTGCTGGGGAAGGGTGGGCCTCCCCTGGCGTATAAAAAGCTGCCAGGGCTTCACTCAACTTGGTATTTACTACCGAGCCCCGGCCGAGGGGGCGGCGGGGCGGAGCGGCCGCGGCCGGGCCAGGTGCACCTGCGGCCGGCGGCACCGGGGGGGCCCGGCCGGCGGGCAGCCCCCGCCCGCCGCGGAGCGGGGCCGGCGTGCAGCGGGACCGCTGAAGTCCCGGGGAAGTTTCCCCCCTGCCCCACAGCCGAGAGCTGCCCCCGCCCCGCCGCCGCCGAGCTCGCACCGGGCCGGGCCGGGCCGGGCCGGGCCGTCCCCCCGCCGGCTCCAGCGGCCGCGGCGCCCCGGGCGGAGGGAGGAGCCAGGCGCGGCCCCCCCCCCGGCCGGGGGCTCCAGCTGTTGCACAGCTGCCTCGGCGAGCGGAGGGGGTGGGGAAGGGGGGGGGGGGGGGGGGGTGTGAGGGAGAAGAGGAAGGGGGCAAGTTATTATCTGCAACAATACCTCGGGGGGGAGGAGGCAGCGGAGGCGAGCGCGGCGGCGGCGGCGGCGGGAGGAGGCGGCGGCGGGGGGAGGTGGGGCCGCAGGCGGGGCCACGGCCGGGCCCGGGACCGCCCCGCCGCGCCCGCCCCTCGGCCCCGCCGCCGGCCCCTTCCGCCCGCCGCCCCCTTCCGCGCTCTGCCGCGTCCCCCGGGCAGCCTCTCCCGCGCTCCCTGCTTCTGTACCCCCCACCCCCCCACACCCCTCCTTCGGCATCCCCCCCGGCCAGCCCCTCCCGCATCCTCCCCCTCCGGTCCTTCCAGCACCGCCCGCGCCCCGCCGCATCCCCCCCGGCGGCGGCGGCGGCGGCGTTCCCGCCTCCTGCATCCCTCCCTCCCTCCCTCCCTCCCTCCCTCCCTCCCTCCGCGCCCCGCTCGACCCTTACCCCCCCTCGGGCGGAGGAAGCGGGGAGGCCGGCAGCCCCGATCTCGGCAGGACGCCCCCTAAACAAAAAGCGAAAGCGGCGGCCGCTGCCTCCCGCCCCGCCGGGCTGCTGCGCTCTGCCCGGGGCTGACGTCAAGGGCCCAAATTCCTGCCTTTCCCTGCAGGCAGATTTGTCCATGTAAGGGCCGGGGCCGGGGCCGGGGCCGGGGCGGCCGCACGGCGGGGGGCGGCAGCTCCCGGTACCTCGGAGGGGGACGACGGGGCTGGAGGCAGCTCCGACCCTGTGGGCATCACCCCCCTTGCCCTGTAACCTGAGGGGTTAGGCCCAGAAACTCACGCCGTGGTTTGCAGTATTCAGCTTTTCACACAGTTTTGTCCGGGGTTCCCTATGGTTTTTTGGTTTTGTTTTTTTGGGGGGTGGTGGTGGTGGTGGTGATGCTTTTCCAACAACCTTTTTCTATGTTCTTCCCCAGCCGGGGCGCCTGAAGAGGTGGGGGGAGGTAAAAGGTGCTCAGAGTTGCAAAGGAGCTGCATGCTCAGAGATTAAAAACAAAACCTGTCGAGCATACTAAGGAGAGGGGGAGGGGAAACTCTTTTCTGATAGCTTTCTGTTTGATTGTTTTGTGGCTATTTATAAGGACTGCAATTAAAATAATTCGGATTTTGACTGTGATTGTTTTTATAATAGAATATTAACCTGTAAGTAGCTGTTGGGTATCTGCATTTGCCCTGAAGAGAAAGGGAAGACGGAAGGGTTACATTGCACTCAGGCTGTGGAGGGGAGAGTTGCCAAGCCTTACTCATTTGGAAAGAGATTTCTGGATGAGTTTTTAAGAATTTTAAATGTATTTCAGTTTGACGATAAAAGGCTCTGCTGTGCGCTTTCAGAAGATGTTTACAGTCTTATCCATTACCAGCTTTAATGTCCACAGTCACCGCTTGACAGCCCCAGGAGAGAAAGTTTGCACGTAAGGACCCAAAAAAGGACATTAAGTGCCTGAAAGACTTCAGAAGCTGGAGTACAGGGTTGTGATCCAGCCAGCCTCCCTCCCTCTTCCCTGGCTGCCAAGGTGTCTAAAACAAGCAAGCACGCTCCCAGAGTGACCTGAGTGCTCTGGCAGATCGGAGACCCTGGGAGATACCACCCCAGGCTGACAGACACCCCTTCCCCGGCAGGCCCCACAGCAGGGGAACCATGACATAGCCCAAATGCAGTCCTAGGTACAAATTCCCAATCTGTAGCTGATTCCGTGTCCTGCACTGGCCCCTGTACCGGGGGTGCTAAATTCCTCCCGAGGGATGGAGAGGGCTGCCGGGGCCAGATGCTATCTTAGAAGCACTGCAGCTAAATCTGCATGAGCCTGTCAGTCACAGCCACAGATGTTTCGAAGCATTATGACTATGACTAGAAATACCCTAGCCTTGTCCTAGCCGCCTACCCTGTGTTTAAACCCTGCTGAGATCCAAACCCAAAGCAGAATAGCACATGAGTCACCGGGGCCCCATGCCGTAGGTGTACCTAGAGTGCCGATAGCGCTCTGTGAACACGGCCTGTTGTGAAAGACACAGGCACGGCTGCTTTCTAAAGCACGGGTGGATGAGAGCGTAGCACCAGCACAAGCTGAGCAGCCAAAGCCTTTGCCCGAGGCCCTATAAACCTGGGTGCAGTTCCTTCCCTGGAGAACCTACAGTTCATGTGTCTCCTTCCAGCTGAGCTCTCTCACCACCAGGCTGCGAGGTCGTGCTCCTTCTTCATCACGCTCTGAGGACAACTCACGATGGCATTTTGTGCCGGGGGCAGGCAGTCATCACAAGGGACTTCCTGGCACTCATGTCTGTCAACCCCAGCGTGGTGGGGCTCTCAGCGGAGCCCGTGTTTGTAATGCTCCAGAGAAGCAGAATTATAGAGGGATTGTTGTTGCCTCTTTTTTTCCTTCTCTGCTCGATCTTTCTTGAAAATCTGCAACAGCCCTTGTGCTGTGTCAACTGGTATCTAGGGGAAGCATCTGAAAACTAAAAGAAACTGTTTGGCCCAAGATGAGAGACAAGTGTTCTCCATTTCATATTTCAGAGAAAACCAGTGGTCAAATATTTTCCTTGTTCCATATCCAACAATCATTGCTTCTTTATCCATCAAGCTTATGCAATTTTCCAGTCGTGTTAACAGAAAATACTTTGCACATCCGCAGCAGCCTCCTTTGAATGATCCCAAAAGTTTTAAGCTTTGAGCCTCCACAGTGTGAGATAGTAACTACTAGTACCTCCATTTTGCAGGCAGATGAACTGTGACTAATCCTCTGCAGCACAGCAGCAGAAGTTTGATTCGCAGCCCATTACTCTTGTAACGTGCTGCCCGGAATGGTCACTGCCTTGTCAAGCACAGCGTGAATTTTCTATTTTTTTTCTTCAGTTTCCTATCATGACCAATATCATACACTTTGGAAATTAAAGTATAAAATTCAAGGTGTTGAGCCTGGCTGTGAAAATCTACTCTTTGCCTGGAAAAAATCAAAAATACTGGCAATGTGCAATCATTCCTTCGGTAATATCTACCGTACTCTGCACCATAGCAGCAAAATGAATTAAACAGCAAAAGACTGAAATGCCTGACATTGTGTAGGCCACTCAGGAGGCAGTAATACAAGATCCAGCCTGGGCCGATATTAATTCAAGGAAATTAAGTTTTTTAATGGTTGATAGAGGCCTGGAAACCTGGCCTCTGTTCCTACTTTTCCTCTGTTGTTCGGCTTTAGAGCAGTCGGTTCACCTCCCCGTGTCTGCAGGAGCCCTTATAAACCCACAGTGCAAGGCTTAGTGCAGGGAACAATACACCACGACACCCCATCAGACTGCATGCAACCTGGTTCTGTACAAAGTTTCCAGAAGTCAGCAGGTGAAACCTTGCTTTTCAGAGTTTGGGTCTCTGCTTTTTAGTAAGATTTCAGCTACAAAAATAAAATAAAATAAAAAAAAAAAACAAACAAACAAAAAAAAAAAACAGTATGGGAAGAGCCCTTGGGAAGCCATGGGAATTCATTCCTCAGGCCATAAAGCAGGAGCAGCATTGCCTAAACCATGCCAGAGGTTCGAGGTTCACCTACCCTTCTCGTAACGATATCTAGGGGATCCATTCCAGATTTTCACATTTAGAAAACCTTTCCTTATCTGTAACCCAAGTCATTTTTGCTGCAGTTCAACTCTTAGTCAGATGAAGTTGTGGGGATCTGACGTATTCCCTCACTAGCAACAATTCCAGAACAACAGGAAAGTCGCCCACCTGGTGAACTAATCCTTCCGTGGGTAAAAGCCAGAGAGGCTGGAAAACACACTCAGCACGTGTTCTTGGGAGAGCTGCCACCTAATTTTCAGACAAAGATCAGATGCAATTAGCCTTAGATCAACTGCAGACTCCTCTGCCCCAAACCACATCACTTTTCACCCACCTCACCATGAGGATGCCTGTTTCCATCCAGACACACACTGCAGCAGCACACTTGACCCTTCGGTCTCCAAAGGGTATTCTTGGAAGCACATGCAAAATCTAAGCTCACAGCAATAGCATTCCTGTGACACTGGGGAAGGAATGAGGAAACACCAGCATGGATACTAGGCAGACAGGAAAGAAAAGACTCAACCTGCAAGTCTGAATTCATTTCCAACCAGGGCGCATGTTCCTGATTTAGAGATACATGCTTGCTGCCTGGTGGAAGGAATCTAGGAACAGCAGTGGGCCAAGCTTTGTTATTCCCCATTTTGCAGGTATTTTTGCATCCAGACAGGAATGCAAGACACATACTGGGCAAGCATTATTAAAGCACAGATCACTGACAGTGATCGAGTCTGGGCCAGAACTCCAAGGGAATCTTCACTGATGAAAAATACAATTTCCAATAACCTCTGCAACTTTCTGTGAGTATATCAGAGATAGTGACTATCATCAAACCCTGCATCTCTGTACACGTCTGAGTTGTACATGGTTCACCAGATGCTCGATTTTACCCGGCAATTAGTTCTATCTAATTCCATATCATTTCACTGTTGGCCACAGTAAGTTTTGGGTAGCTCAGGAAAGTATAAACCTCCGTGCACCCATTTCAGGCTCTGCTCCCACTCAGCTCCATCTACCATCCAGGACGTAGCTGCCTGTGCCACACTTGGAAGGAATGGTAAAGCTTTATAAAACTGCTAAATCCCAATGCTGAGAAACTGCAGTTGAGCCACGTGCCAGTGTAGCGTGCTTAATTTTAAGGACATACTTAAATCCAATTTCAGCCCAGAGAGATTTTAGCTTATGTTTAAGCGTTCTGTTGAACAGGAGTGGATTTAAGGATTGAAGTGTTTTGCTAGACTGGATCTTTCGTTAATGAGGAAGGAGGGTTGCTAGTGCCTAGAAGAAAGAACTACCTGAAGCTCTGTGGCCACAGGGAAGCCATAACTAGCACTTCTCCATTTTTCTAATCAATCTTGATGAAATTAGCACATAGAACTGTTAAAGAAGTTGACGATTTCATTAAGAATCCTCACTCTCTGGGTCTCAGCTTTGGAGGGGAAAAAAGCACATTTGTAGTATTTCATCAGAGTGATGGGATATAATTAAAGCAGAAGTCACTGGACTCTGTATTTTACACCATCTGGTATCTTGCACAGTATCTCGCTAATGGTGAATGTCTCTTTTCCAGATTTTAGCACTGCAAATCACGAGTGCTTTGTTTTACAGGAAGGGAATTGGTAAAATTCTTTACAGAGTCTACACTAAATAAACAGAGAAGTACCCCAGTCTTAAGAGAAATGTTTGCAGTAACAAATATTTTGGGGGACATTTTTGCATAGACTCTGACCTCCCTGTTGAGAATCAAAGCAAAAATATTGAATGTACTAAGCAGATGTCTTCTCCTAGTGACAGCAAGATGAGCAGAGACAGCTGGTTAGAAGAACAACAACAACAAAAACACATCATAATTCCTGCTTTGGCTCCAAAAAAATCTTGGACTTGTTGTTAAGGAAAAAAACTATGTATGTAAGAAGCCAAGAAAGAGACAAATATCGTTGAATCTGGTAGCATTTTAGTGAATGTGCTGTAAATAACTTAAGTAGGAAGAAAAACTGGATGTGTTCCATTGTTT